GTGACATTTTTGAAAATTCCCCATAGATAATTATGACGTCGTGTCCTAAATGTCTTCTGACGAAAGAACGTAAAATAAACGTCGTGTCCCCACCTTGTTTAGCTTCTCATCAAATGCTAAAGTCATCGTCAACCGAAGTTCTAATCTCTTCTCTCTCGTATATATACATGTGCTTGTTTCGGCCTGATGAATATTAAACCGAGGCGTAAAGATGTCTAAAGCTTTTCTCATTTTTATGTTCACCTTGACGATATTACTTTTCTTCAAAGCAACAATTATTTTAGCACAGAGTGGATATCTCCCTGAGGAGGAAAGTAAGGATCGTTTCTTTTATGTAAATCATTTCTTTCTTTCCATTCAAGCGTGTAGTTAGGGTCTCCACACTTATTAGGCTTCCATTAAACTTCAGGTTATCTCTAAAAGTTCACTTTGATCAACATGAATCCGATCACATTTCTATTTTAGAATAGAGTTTTTATTTTTGCAGAGAATGCTCTTCGTGAAATAGCTGATCAGTTGGGCAAAAAGGACTGGGACTTTAACCTGAATCCTTGTCATAAACTGGAAAGACCCGATATGCCATCGTACAACGATTCCATCATCTGCAATTGTACTTCAGCTGGTGGTGTATGCCACGTAGAATCGATGTAGGTTTTCTTGCCGAAAAGCTTATCATCTTTTTCATTAGTTTGAAACTGATTTAGAAATAGCCATTTGTACTATTGAATTGCAAGGAATCAGCAATCACAGAAAATATATTCTGCTTCTATTGATCTTCAAGCAGCAAAATATGGGGTTTTCAGTATCTGATTTTGAGACATGGAATACCATAATGGTTGGTTATCTCTTTGTCAATTCTTAAAATGGTATTTTAAGTGGGAATTATTGTACTTTTTTCATGCCTAAACCTCCCTAGAACTTATGGTGTCTAATAATCAAACTTGATCAGCTTTATAGTCTATTTTAAATGAATAAATGTTATCTACCACCAGAATCATGTGACTCATTTGATGACACTTTGTGCCACCAAAACTGGTATTATAATACCAGTGCTGCTAAATAACATTACTTATTTTATATTGCTAGTCTCTATCTTCCTCATTTTTTTACCTGGATTTGCTCTTAACATGATATGTATACGAATTTCTGCAATAAACTGTGTCAGTGATATAACCATAAAAAAAAAGTTCTTTTTCTCCATTCGGTCAAGCATACAACTTCATTTCACCATGTCAACGTTTCAAGTTACCTTTTCGATTGTTAAGTTTGAGTTGAAAATGACATCGCATAACGTTTGTAGTGTTCTCTAGATGAAGTCAAGCTACTCTTGTTTGGTACCAATTAAAATCCAGATTTTAATTTAAGTAAAATTCAACAATTAATTTTAATCACATATTCATGAGACTCACAACTTTTCAATCACATATTTTATCAATTTTTATCAAAATCTACAAAAAATCTGATTTTAATTCCTACCAAATAAGGGCTTATATATCGGTTTACTTTGGAAATCGCTTCAAAATGACTTTTTCGCTTTGTTTCTTTCACCTTTCTAGAAACTTAATTCTCGTATTTAATTTAAAGTATGCTAAAGATGGCATTTTTTCCCCCAAACAGATCTCTGGAAGGACAGGATT